GTACATGGCAAAAAGTAATATGAAAGAGTTTTTTACACTGCTGAAATAATGTGCGATCCGGGAACAATTGCTGGGAAATTACCGAAACCAGACAAAAATCAGTTCGTGTCCAGTTTACTCAGCCGATTCAACAGAAATTAAATACTGTATAGCCATACAGTAAAATGACCATGTTACACTTTTTTTTATATGAGCCATTCAAATTATGCCCAGGCTCACTGTTATTATTTTTGCTGATTCCAGCATTGCTCTATTTCCATTTACAGAAAATTGTTATTGTACAGCAGTATATTACTGTGTTATAAACGTTATAAGATCGTTATCGTTGAAGTATAAACAGGCCTTTATCGTCAACCTGGGCTTCAATATTTGGAAAAGCTTTTGGTTTGTACCTGATTGTACTTTAAACATTTCTTATGAGGTAGTTCTTGTTATCACTTATTAAATGTTTCTATATCTTTTTTGGAAAGAGAACAAAAGATAGTTTCTGGTGACTAAATTGCATTCTGATGTGTTGAATTTGTGTAGAAAAAAATCATGGAAAATAATTTTATATAACCAATTTATTTACTAAGATAATTCATATACTGTATAAGGGTTTTTTGAAATGATAATACTGTTAGTGCAATAAACAAGCAATTAATTACCATTAATCATTTTTTAAACAAGTTAAATTGGATAACAATTATATTTATTATTACATTTACTAATCTTTACATTTAATGATAATAAAGCATGCTTTAGCATGAATACTGCAATCATAATCTAACTGTAAATTAGTGGAAAGTGTCTTCACTTTGTTTCAGTACTTAGCAAAGGTTGTCCCATTTTGTGAAAAAATAATAATAGTTCGTCAGTGTTAAATAATATCATGAGAGTCTCTTGTAGCATGAATACTGCAATAGTAATCAAACAAGTATTTCATTAATCAAATTGTAAATGATTTTAATTGAATTGCAATTATACAGTATATAGTAGAGTAGTAATACTAATTACATTAAAAAAAAAAAAGACATGCATATTGTTTTTAAGGTTGTTGGACATACTGTATTACTAAAATAAATATGCTATTACGAAGCACACAAAACCTGGTATAGTGTAATGCCTTAATTTTGTTAATAAATAGGTGCCTAGTATCGTCAGGAAAATTGAATCATACAATTTTACATCTTACACTGTATTGTTTGCTCTGTAATTCATAAGCTATTGGAATTATGCTTTACATAGTCTATTTTATAACCATAGTGAATGATACGCAGATTGTATAGGCCTATTTATGAACAAAAAACACCTCAATTTCAGGGCATTCTATATTATATAGTTGAATTGCATTTTAATTAACCAAAAATAAATTATTGTTAAAATATACAATTTTAATAGATAAAATTAATTTAACACAGACATAGTAATTCATACTGGCAATACATTAACATAGGTACAGCATGAGGAGCCTCTGGTCAAAGGAGAAGCTAAAATTCACTTGTCTGGGGAGGATATTTAAACTCTGTGTAGTTGGCAGTGGGTTCAGGAAATGCCTCATGTATGGACTTCATTACACGACATCAGCACTCGCCTGTCTTTGCCAAGATAACCACAGCACCAACGTACAAATTGCTGATAGGCTGTATACCTGTAACGACTGAAAAAAAAAATTATGAAGCAATATTAATATAGATTTTTTTTTGTGTGTGAGGGGAAGAGAAAACAGGAATTAAAGCATAACTACACCTCATAAATAGTAATCAGATTTAATAAAATATTTTATTGGTCAATTCCACTTGTAAGCAGTGGGGTATTTTGCAAGACTTGCATGTAAGTGCACACACAAAGAAAAAGTAAGGTACCACCAAAAATATTAACTAATGTATGCCTAATAGAACAAAAATATATGTTGATGTTTGCGGTACACCACATAGGCAGTTTTGAAAAGAACTGTTGTAGTTAAGAAACTCTCAACGTTTTGATTGAGTTGCTTCAGTCATCGCTTCAGTCGTCTTCGGGAGAATAATACCTGCAGAAATTGCAAACAGGGAAATACTTATATGTTTGAGTAGAGAAGTACAAAAATAATTCATCTATGTATTCTTTACCTTTCGACTCCCCCTTTGGTCACAGGCTCCTGGTATTGTGAAACATACTGCCAATATGCAATTTGTAGTGTTACAGGATTTAAGATGGCTGGTTCAAACCAAGGATGTGTGGTAATGCACCCATTGTGGTATGGCTCTTCATTGTTTATTAGCATAACCTTTTCAATCTGTTAAAAAAAGATGGAACATGAATTTATGAAAACTTAAAAAATATTTAATCTGCAATACAACACAGGTAATGTAATACACGCCTTTTCCACAGCGCAGTAGTACTATTAGTACTCTAGACTAGCATTGCTTTATTTACCATATGAGAGTTTCCTGTGTTAAAAACATGATTTATACTACACTTATTGATACTTGTACTTTATAATAAGAGAAATCTCATATTATTGATACCTGGAGTCTCTTATACACATCTAGATGTGTATAAGAGACAGACTGCACTGTAATGCTTAGGCCTATTTTAATACATTACTTAGATAGGGTTTTCTTTTTCCATCTTGATTTCAGAGGTCAAAAACATTTTTCAATTTTTTTTTCAATCATATAGTGGTGTAGAATAGTCTTTTGAGAACATTTTCCAGAAAAAAATAAGGTTGTACGACCCACCGTTATGAAGTTTTAGATAACATGAGGTCAAGAATTCTGCTTCAAAGCTTATTTTCATGGTACTGTAGGGAGGAAGATTTTTTTTTTCTCACATCAAACATGAAAAAATAGTGTCACAAGGAAAACCATGAGTCCAAAATTTCATACAAGAAATTATGTAATTCATCTAAACCAAGCAGAAACTTTGCCTATGAATAACAATCATAATGCAATTTCTCTAAATAATAATGCACAATTTACTCCAACACAACAGGCATCATGGATGCCATGTGGCTACAATAGTATAGTGATCTGGCTCACATGCGGATGGGTGGTAAATAGACCTATATATTTAATGGAGTTTTGTAAAAAAAAAAAAAATTCAAGTCAGTGGCCTCTCTGATGGTTGGGAGGGGATGCTAACCAATTCTTTTATTTTACATGGCCTTAATTTGTATTTTAATCGAATGGTTCTTACTTCTTGACAACAGGAACGATTTTTCCACATCTCTTCCACGACGCAGTTTCCACAAGTACACTGAAAATAACAGAAATGCATTTTTTGTTATTAAACTAATGATTTTTTATAGAACATAATAGAAGGACTAGGCCCAATTATCATAACTCAGACAGGTTCTATTTCCCTAAATAGAAGCCCAGGGTATGATTTTAATGGCTCAGTTGACTTCTAGTCTACAAATACTTTCAGAAAAAAAATATCAAAGATACGCTTTAAATTATGCATGCAATGTTAAAATATTCCGTTTGGTTTTCCATCCATACAACTTTAAATAGGGCACACTGATGTCAGATTTAAAAGGATATTTTTTTTTAATTTTGTTAAAATGGAATTCCCCTGGGTATACACCCACCTACTAACTAGGCTAAAATAGGCCAAACATGGCAATAGGACTTAGTCTATTAGTATCTAGTACCACCCTAACCCTCCCTACAGTATAGGCCTAGCCAAAGATGTACTAGCCTAGATAGGCAAAGAAGGGCTATCCTAGGCATATAGACCTCGCTAGACTAGGCCTAGGCTATAACACAGGCCTAGCCTAGGAAGGTAGACCCCAGACTATGAATTGGCTAGGCCTAGTTAGAAGCCGATCCACCCAAACAAAAAAATGCCATAAAAACCGTCCACGCAATTGGAAAAATAAGGGCCAATTTCCACGCAGATTTTTCCGAAAAAATCTTTTAGACTAGGCCTAGGCCGGTAGGCCTAGCCGTACGGACTCTAGGCCTACCCTCTAGCTATAGGCCTAAGCTTTGCTTTGACATAATATATAATAAATCTGCTACGGGATGTCAAACAACCAGTATATGATGTTCAAAAAACATGTGATATGAATAAAATTACCATTCCTGTCTTGCCGCACGTTTATATTTCCCGGTAAACCTAGGCGAATAAGTTCACCAAGTTCATCATCATCAGCAACAGCAATTACAAGATCATGTTGCAATCATGAATATATCACCGTAAACGGAAGAAAGAGAATATAGCAGAAAGATATTTTGTTAGTGGAAAGATAGCAAAACAATAATACTTAGGACTATGATAAACCGATTCACGAACTAAAATATATAGGGCCCATATTAAATTTTTCGTTTTCGCAACTCCTTCGACGCTCCATATATTTGTTCGAAATAAACCGCGACCGAAACGAAGCGCGACCGAAACAAAGCGCGACCGAAACAAAGCGCGACCGAAACGAAGCGCGACCGAAATGATCGGCTACCACAGCGACGGGCCTTGCTTGGTTCATCGTCGCCAATAAATGCCATAATTTTGCCAAAATTTACAATACGGTTTCAAAAATGACGCTTAGGAAAGATAAGCCGGACAATACTGACAAGCTTGAAACTAGCCAATCAGAGAGCACCACGCCTAAACTGGCTCCACTTGTGAATCTTAACTCGGTGTCTAATACACCTGATTTGCTCGACATAATTCGACATAAAGCCGGTTTTCCACTAAGCGAATTTATTCGCGCGAATCGAAAGCGTCGGTTCATAAGCATGCGCATTCACATTTCTATCGGGTTTTTGCGAAGCGAAAAAATGCGCAACCAATTAGAGCTCAGAAAGCGTACCGAAGATTTGTTTCGCGCGAATAAATTCGCCTAGTGGAAAACAGGCTTTTTTGGTATAATTCTAAATCAACATCTAAACTGGAATAGACATTGTGATCACATTTCCAATAAAATCTCTAAAACAATAGGCATTCTTAATAAAATTAAAAATATTATCCCTAAAAGTGTAATGGTAACGTTTTATAACTCTCTAATAGTGCCACATCTAAACTACGGCATACTTGTTTGGGGTTATGGTTGTAAAGGTTACAATGCTACAAAAAAAAAACTATACGTATTATTACCTTAAGTAAATATAATGCTCATACTGAACCTCTGTTAAAGAAGCTAAATTTGCTTAAGTTATCTGATATTCATAAACTCTGCCAATTAAATTTTTACCATAAATATATGAATAGCATGTTGCCTGCGTATTTCCAAACTTGTTTTTTCCATACGAATGCTAATGTGCATTCACATAATACAAGAATACAAACACACTTACATGTTATGCGTGTACATCACGAATTTGCAAAAAAAATGCATTCGTTCTAGTTGTCAACCATAAACTAAACTAAATCCTTTTCGAGCCACTTGGGCTCATAGGGCTGGAGCTTATCCCCAGTTTCTGTAGTGTGAAGCGGATGAGAGTTGTACTCCCACTGGACGGGACACTAGTCCATCGCAGGTTAGTAACCAGCAGTTTACTGGTACCCATTGATACAGCTGGGTGGACTGAAGCAATGTAGCTGAAGTGCCATGCCCAAGGACACAAGCTAATCTGCACAGTGGAGACTCAAAACCCAGACCTTCTTACGATTGAAAGCCCAAACCTCAAACGCTGCGCCAAAGTACCGCTACGTTGTTGTAAACCATACTGGAAATTTAATAATTGATAAGGTACATGCTCATTCTCTGAACGGATTCACAACATACACAAAAATGTATTTATAAATGATTTAAATGATTATTTTGAGGTGTGTGTTAATAATAATTGCTATATTTATAGGCCAACTGATAATTGACTTTTATTTTCTTAGTAATCACATCTAAAAAAATCTCTAATGCACGTTCATTTTTACCTGGTATATACTATGAAATTTACGTATTGTGTACGTTATATACAGTATAATATTGTTTTTACCTTTTCTAATTACATTGTGCTTGTAGAGAAGAACTATTTTTATTACTTTGTCACCAAAATGAATCATAATATTTAGAACTGGTAGTGCGGGTTTCTTTGGTGATGGCATAGCCGGGGTCGGGGGCTGGAATCTTCAAATGCATATAATTGTTATTTTTAACACTATTATTCATTAATAGGCCTAAATGAAAATAGTAATGGTTCTATTATTATCTTTATTATTATTTATTATTATTATTATTATTATTATTATTATTAATATTATTATTTTTATTATTATTATTATATTCTTAGATTTTTGAGGTTTTCATGGGTGGCTCTTATGCTAGCGGCATCAAAAATCAAAAATAATATAGCCTAAATATATTCTCATAAAATATCCCTCATCACCCAAAAGCATAACAAATTTGCTTACTATTTACAAACATTTTTGAAAACATTCCCCCCTAAAAAACACTATCATGTTAAGGGTGGAGATTGGGGTCAGGATGACGACGACGATCAGACCAGGGGCGAAAAATGTTCCGCTGTTGTAGGCCTAAGCATAGGCCTACCTAGTACTACACCTGTAATTTGTTAATTCTTGTGAAATTAATTAATTACATTTTTCTAGTTAATATTGTTTAATATTTTCCAATTTTCAATTTGTAATATTTCCTTGAATCTGCCACTGAATCTTTTCAATAACAACAATAACACATGCAATAGTAATAATTAGAAAAAGAGTACAAACTTTTTTTTTGTTCTATAGATTGAACGTTTTAAACTTTATTTAATAATTTGTTTTTATATAATATAATAAAAATGAAAGAATTTAACAAGAATTTAAGTTACAGACGAACAAAGTATTATCTAATTACAATATTATTACGTTTATTTTGTCAAATCACGATACAAAATTAAGAACTCAATTGTGCCAAAAAAAAGAACTTAAAATACGTCACAAAACGCTACAAACCCGGAGCGGTTGGTGCTTTCCCCCCCACACCCCAAAAAGTGGGCCCTTCGCGGCCCCTGGCCCCAGCGCCTGGCCCGGGCCCTTCGGACCTTAAAAGCTCCTCTCCCACGAGGGGTTTTTTCAGCATACGACTTACAAGAGAATGCCGAGTTGCTAACTCGGCAAACTTGGCAAAAACTCGTAGGACGATTCGGAAAGCTCGGAGAGGACTCTTACCTACTCGTAGCGTACGACTCTTAGGTGAAATAAACCTAGGTGGGAGAGGGGCTTAGTTTCGCCACTGATACTTTGTAGTTCGCATTTACAATTTTCGCACTTTTTTTTATTAACCTATTTGCTTCAAAATACCATTTTAAGGGAAAAAGTGTCAAATTTTAAATTTTTTGAGGGAGATGATCTTTGACATACTGTAACTCCAAAATATCAAAAGTGATAATGTCTGATTTTTCAAATAGGTGTTTTATTTTGTATAATAGGTCAGTTTTTGGGAAAGTATCAGACAAAAAGGTTGTTAGCTTAGTATTTAGTATTTTCGTATTTATTTAATAAAATATGTATTATTAAATTTAGCGGAAAAAGTCATAAAAAAAAATGTTTGGTCACAAGCTAATATAATTTGTGATCATATAGATCATTCGATAGATAATTTTCATAGCGTTTGTGTGATATCAAATATATTCAACTTGAATTTTCCAATGACGGACTAGTTTTAAAATACAATTTTTGGGTAAAAACGTGTTAACTTTGCCATTTCTTAGTCAATTTTAGCACTTAAATCAAAAATTCATCGTGTGAACCAAGAGCTAATGATGAGGATTTATTTTGTTGCCAGCTTGTAACAAATCATATCTACGCAAAAAATGTTTTGAGCACTTTCAATCTTAATCCGCATAGAAGATTACTTTGCTCTTTCCACTGTACAAACGTAATTTGCATGATGAATTCTCATATTTTCTAGATTTATGTCAATATAAAAACTAACAATGGTAAGACACCTACAAGACTGATGCTACGATAAATTTCGTGCAGATATGTGTACGCGTCTGGAAGGTAAATCGTCACAAATTTTTGGTCCTTATTCAAATATATGTATATGTATGTAATCTTGTATGATTATTGAACTGTATATTTTACCGCTATCATAATCAGTGTGTTGTATTGCAAAATTGGGAAGTTCCACAAGGTTTTACCATTGGACCTATCCTCTACTTGATATGCATACAACCACTTGGTATGATCATTCAGAAGTATGACATACCTCATGTACGCAGATGATACTCTTGTGTGCACACCCTTTCCCTTAAAGTGTTTCAATGTAAAATTGCACAATTGCGAGAAAGAACAACGCTCGAGCTCAACTAAGGATGCTAGGCCTACGCTAGCAGCAAGGCCCGCCCATTTTAGTCCATATGGGGGAGCGACGAACTGAAATTGAAAAAAAAAAATAATGAAAATTAAACAGTCCAGTTAGCCCTACAAAGGGCAAAACCAATAAAGCCAAAAACGGGACAAAGCCACATCCAATCGGAGACGGTGGAAGTGCAGCAGCGCCAAATTCAAACGGCACGAGCAAGCCTAGCATAACGACAGGTAATACACATGGCGACAATGGTGAGTTCGAAGCAATTTTTAAAGAATGTAACAAGTGTCAGTGAAAACGACAGAGAAATACTTTGTGAAAAATGCAACGTATTATTAAACTATATAAAATCTGATGAAGACCATCTCAGCCCCAACCATGAATTGGACTGAGGTAACAAAATGTATAATTATAGTACATCTAGATTGCCGGAAATGGCACTCTCAGACTTAAGCTTTAACATAATTTCTTTTTTTCCCATGTTTTTTCATAATCTTTTTAATATTCTATTACTATTATTATCTTATGAATTTGGCTCATTACTATTGTTATTATTATAATTTTGTTGTATAAAAAGTTTGATCCTGACACTATTTTTTTTTCCATCTAATTTGGTCAATTGTAATTATCACCAACCCAGTAAATTCGCAAATCTCATTAAATAACATTAATCTAAAGAATAAATTCTCATCTTTACACATGAATTCCCGTAACCTGGTTA